ATTTAAAAATAATTAAATACTATAATAATTATTAATGCGCATGTACATATATTATACCCACTTCAAATATTACATTCACAATATTTTTAAATTTAATTATGATAATTTAATACTATTTTATGTTTCATTAAAATTTACATGCATTACGCAATACCTCCGAGTTAGAAATTACAAACATTGTTACTTTAGTCTACGTATGAATAAGAAAAAAATAAGAATATCAACATATTAATTTGATGATATTTTATAACCTTATATAATTGAACATCTTCCATACCAGATGTATTTATTTCGTAATATCTTACATATATATTAATATATTACACATTATCATTAATTGATGTAAACGATTTAAAATAAATATTAAACAACAAATATGGTAATTATTGTTTACATGCAATTATATTATAAAATTGCAACTAATATATATATTTGTTTTTTTAGATGAAAAGTAATGCATTGAAACTAGGTTGTGTGAGTAGTAATTCCATTGCTACTCTTAGATACTTGTCAGCACGTGCTTCAGGTACAGGTAAGGATGTACATTTTAGATTTAATAGTCAGAATCCAAAGCCCATTGTATTACCACCTGAAACTATGCCATCAACACCATATCCAGCAGTGCCTTATCCTCCAAACACCCCTGTTGTAGAAATACCAGGTTTTTAAAACAAATCTGTTTTAAGTAATTACAATAATAGGACTAAATAGATATTTAGTATTTGTACAGTTCAAAGATAAATGTATAAATTAAATATTAATAATATACTAGCTCTTAAAATTTAGGACCCATTATTGAACCTACACTTCCTCAACCTCAACCTCAACCTCTACCAGATTCCAAACCACCTATTGAAATTCCAGTACCCAACAAAAATACAGTTACAGGCAAGGATGCACAAGCAAATATGGAAGATGATGTCCTATTTAAAGATGTATGTATATGTATAGTTTACTAGATTACAAATTATGTTTTATGAAACATGTAATACAAATAATGCATAAACTAGATATTTGTAATATTTATATTTTCTTGAAATAAGATTGGAAATAAAGGCATTATTACATTAAATCGTACAAAAGCCCTGAATGCCTTAAATTTATCAATGGTTGAAAAAATATATCCAGTACTAAAAAAATGGGAATCATCTAAAGAATTAGTAATAATAGAAGGTGCAGGAGATAAAGCATTTTGCGCAGGTGGTGATGTAAAATCCATTGTTAATGCATTAAGAGAAACTGATAACAAAATTATAGGTGAAACATTTTTTAGAAAGGAATATATGTAAGTTTCAAAAACGTACTTTATAATATATCACATTATGCTTTATAGGATTAAAAATTATGTATATAATGCAATTTTGTATATATTAAATATAGCTTAAATAATCTCATTGGTACATATAAAATACCATATGTAGCTATGATAAATGGAATAACTATGGGGGGTGGAGTTGGATTATCTGTTCATGGCAAATACAGAATTGCAACAGAAAAAACATTATTTGCTATGCCAGAAACAGCAATAGGATTATTCCCTGATGTAGGTGGAACGTTTTTCTTGCCTAGATTGGAAGGCAAACTAGGACTTTACCTTGGATTAACTGGAAATCGATTAAGAGGTATAAAAATTATCAAATTTAATACCTTATATTTTAAGTGCTTTTTAATAATTTTATACTATATTTAAAGGTGTTGATGTATTACTTGCTGGTATTGCAACACATTTTATTCCTTCTGAAAAGTTATTAGATTTAAAACAAGAGTTACTAATGACAGAACAACCTGATCTTAAGGAAATCTTAAACAAATATCAACCTAAAAAATTAAATCAAGAATTCTCTTTAGCACCATACATGGATGAAATTAATAAGTATTTTTCTGCTTCATGTGTAGAAGAAATAATAGACAGGTAAATTTGTTGTAATATTTATTGAATCAAAATTGTAATCTACAATTTTAAAATATTTATTCGATACTATACTTTTCTAAAGATTGAAAGAGAATAACTCAGAATGGGCTGAAAAAACATTAAAAATGCTGTTGAAAGCATCTCCTGCTTCTTTAAAAGTCACTATGTGTGCTATTCAAAAAGGAAGCATATTAAATCTAGCAGATTGTTTAAAGATGGAATATAGGTTGGCATGTGCTGCTTTAAATAAAACTAGTGATTTTTGTGAAGGTACTTATTTCAGTATACAAACTTTACAGATGCATGTCTATTTTCAATTGTACAATGTATCTTTTTGACAACATTGTGCCGTTATTTAGATACTTTACTTACTATTATCATAGGTGTTAGAGCTCTTTTAATTGATAAAGATCAAAATCCGAAATGGAATCCAAAATGCTTAGAAGAAGTAACAGATACTTATGTAAATCAACAATTTATAAAACTTCCGGAAGAAAAGGAATTGCAACTTTGAGACAATATTGAGGACATCAAATAACAAATCTAAATCATATTAAATACAAAACAGCATGCTTTATTTACGAAAAATAACCAAAAAAATATAAGTACTTATAATTATTATACCGATACTTAAAAAAATCCGATTTCGAAAATTTTTATTTTTTGATATTTGTTTTAAAAC